CGGGCTACGTGAATCTCCCTATACTCGCATAATTCAACAAAATGTTGAACGGCCATGTTTCTGTATAGATAATCAGTGGCGTAACTAGGTAGGTGCCAAAGGTGCCGCGGGCCGCGGCACCGCGCTCTGAAGGCGGGAGGGCGCGCCAGAGGCGCTAAAGTACCGAGGGCACTAAGTCGGGGTGGGCAGTACGTGGTGTACCGTATAGATCAGTCATAAAATACAAGAACGGCAGTTAAATTCTAATAGTTTGCTAAAGTCGACTACAGGGTGCGCTGAAATATAATGAAAACTAAATTTACACTCCTTTAACATTGTTAAAAAATTAAAAAAATTATCAAAGTCACCGTGTGAGATCCAAGGCATTTTTGTGTGGCAGATCAGTACTTTTATTAGCCAGTTTTGACTCCACAATCAATAAAATCTTGTCGGGGGCTACCATATTCCCTTTTGTCGGTACCCACTTCTGACGCCCCCACAGTCGGCGGATGTATACAAAGTTTGAATCAAAACACTTGTACCACGCTATGTTAAGTACCTCAATATGAATGGCGACTATGTTGAAAAACAGCCTAAGAGTGTATATAATAACAGTTGTTTCTTACACTTTCTTAATTTTTTATTTCAAAATGTCTGTTACTTTCTGAATGGCCCTTGTAGAACAAAGTTACAGCGGTAGGAAAAGGCTGCAAATTTAAACTAATAATACTATTTGTGATCTATACAATAGTCTGTATTAGTGTGACCAGCATTTGCACCCTTATTCTAAGACGCAATCATTTCTACGACTTGTACCCTATGTCATAGCTAAATTTGACGCGAGAATTGAAAACATGATCAATAAAATTCTATTCTTCGTTGAGTGAAAGACTTCGTTATTCAAAGCATTATTTTAAAATTTAAGTAGTGCAGTGCTTTTAAAATTTCGTGTAAAGTTTCTCTCAAAAATGTACAGTGTTTTATTACTTAGAGCTCAATGGTAACTAATAAGGCGCCAAAACCTGATCCGGCACCGCTTCGAAAAATACCTAGGTACGCCACTGTAGATAATGTGATGGGTCCCATAAACATAACATATTTTATCTGCCACAAAAGTCATAAGCGACATTAAAATAAGATCCTTGTGCTTTAGATTTGAAATATCTCCCTTCTATCTCTACATCTGTTTCGTCAATTTGGGTTATTAAAGCGTTACGCAATTGCGATAAATTTAGAGCCATTTCATTAGGAATATTCTCGGGAATATCTTTAGTAATTAGTTTCGGTGGATCACGACCATTCCCTTTGGAAACTTTACAATGCGCGACGTAGTTTGTATTCATTAAATTTGTAGCTAGTAGAGAAAATCTTGGAGAACGTGTTTAATTTTTATTCACAAGCACCTATCCTCTATAGCTAACGGTATACCTAAGACCTAAGACCCGGGGACGGTTGTTTTTCTTACCTACCCAAAAACTACGCAGAGTCGGTTTTTAACGACTGAACAGTCAACATTTCTGTATCTTCAATGTAACGTTAATTTTTTGTTATCAATTAAATGTCATGCACCTTTAATTTCCTTTAGTTTTGTTATTTGGTTCACGAGCCGCAAAGTTCTACAATATCACGAATCATCATAGTGGGATTGTGGACGTCGACTTTACTAAGTTGCCACTACAAAGCAAATTTCTTATCGCAACGACCGGTTTTAAATGAGATAACTAAACAACAAAACATTTTAAACAATAAAAAATAAAATCAACATACTACGCGTTTATTTAAACAAAATTAAGCATCAATAAATCGGATACAAAACACATTGACCGCTAATAGTCCAGCCTATATAATATTTTTGTATGAAAAAAATTAATTACCGGGCGAAACCGGTTTTTTCAGGCAGGTGGAATGAATAGAATTTGGGAAAAAATAATTAAAACAGCTGAATTTTTCCGCGGGTGAAATCACGGGGGTTGAAAGGGGTGTAAAGTGGTATTTTGCAAATTGTGGTAAAACTATTGATTTTAGACGAAAATGTTAAATGTAAAAGTTATAGAAATGAGCAACTTTTGTATCTGCACTATTTTCACATAACCTCCAATTTTCCTACAAAAACCGGAAAAACTTTTTTTTTTTCGTTTTTTATTCTTATTTTTGCGAAAAAATGTCGTAGGGGTTTGAAATTTGGAGGTAACATAGCCTGTTTTATGATAAAACAGAAGATAATTGTTTGGGCCCATAAAGTTGAACCGTTTCCAAGATCTCACGATTTCTGAAAAAAATCACCTCTTTTCAAGGGGATGAAAAATCTTTTTTTTTTCATCGTACAGAGGTGCGCGGGGTAGCAAAATGTTCGGGGAGACTTATTTTAATAAACAAAAATAAAAAAATATTATTCCTATAGCAAAAATTCGCGAAAATCGCCAAAAACCGGAAAAACAGTTTTAAGATATACACGGTTTTTGACATGATAAATCAACATGTTGGATGTTAATAAAGATTTTTTCGAAATCTGTCTTCTTCCTTCTCTTTAATGTTTGCCTAAATATTCTCTTTTGTTATCTTATGCTCAACTGTTTTAGTTAAAACATCTTTATTATTTCTTTTTTCTGCATTTTTACCGCAATAAAAGCAATTCGAAATAAAATCCAATTATGTATCTTGCTTCCTGATTCTTGAACAATTTATTTTTGTTCACTGACTCTTCTTCCTGCTTGTTTTATAGCTGATGCAATTGCGTTGGGCCTGTTGATAAACTTGCAAAATCTGCAATATGAACGTTGGTTTTACCGGCCAAAAGCAAATGATTTGAGATGTCAAACCTGCAGGAATAAACTTTATGAGGATTTTATTCATAATTCCTGTAAATTAACGATCAACAGGCCCAGCTTAATCCCATCAGCTGTAAAACAGGCAGGAAGAAAAGTTAGTGAACAAAAACATATTGTTCAGAAAGCAAAAGAATTCGATTTTACTTCAAATTACTTTTATTGCGGTCCAAATGCAGAAAAAAGAAACAATAAAGATGTTTTAATTAAGGCAGTTGGGCACTGGGAAACAAAAGAAAATATTTTAACAACATTAAAGAGGAGAGAGAAGACAGATTTCCAAAACTTTTTATTAGCGCGGATCCAACACGTTAATTTATTTGCAAAAAAGCCTATTTACCTACTGTCAAAAACGGTGTATCTTAAAACTGTTCCCCCCGTTTTTGCCGCTTTTCTTGAAATTTTTCTATTAGAATAATATTTTTTATTTTTGATTATTAAAATGTAAGTCGTTACGAAAATTTTGCTACCCCGCGCACCTCTGTACGATGAAAAAGAGGTGATTTTTTACAGAAATCGTGAGATCTTGGAAACGGTTCAACTTTATAGGCCCAAACAATTATCTTCTGTTTTATCATAAAACAGGTTATGTTACCTCCAATTTTCAAACCCCTACGACATTTTTTCGCAAAAATAAGAATAAAAAACGAAAAAACAGTTTTTCCGGTTTTTCTAGGAAAATTTGAGGTTATGTGAAAATAGTATAGACACAAAAGTTGCTCATTTTTTTAATCTCTAACTTTTACATTTAACATTTTCGTCTAAAATCAATAGTTTTGCCACAATTTGCAAAACACCACTTTCCACCCCTTTCAACCCCCGTGATTTCACCCGCGGAAAAATTCAGCTGTTTTAATTATTTTTTCCCAATTTCTATTCATTTCACCTGCCTGAAAAATTCGGTTTCGCCCGGTAACTAATTTTTTTGAAAATAAATCATTTTAGAGCTATTTAGCCTGGACTATAAATCGAAACTGTGTTCATTCTAAATTAGCAACCACATTTAACGTTACACATAATTGAAATTTGGCACATACAGGGTGCCTCAACAGTACTGTAGGTGCTGAAAGCAAATAAATCATCCGCATGACTTAGTTTACACAATAAAATTTCCATACGACGCACTCCCTTATTAATATGCAAATCTCTTACGTTAATTTAATTTGTAATGTAGAATTTTGCTTTAAAGCAATTTGCGATCGAGTTAGAGGGTGAGATCTTCCTTCTCCCTATTCATTTAATTAACTTGATTGTTTTTCTGAATAAAGAGTTTACTTTAAGCCACATAAAACTTCCTAATGAAGTGAAAACGTCTCATTTCCACTTGGGCTGCAAATTCCGGCATATGTTTGAAAGAAGTTTTCTGTAGACCTTTTTCGCACGACTTTCCCGATCTCAAAACGCTTCACTTTTTGTCTTTAGACACTTAACATACTTAAATTTGACGTCCATCACTGCCGAAATCACTTAAAAACCTTCGTCCATGTATTGTAGAGGTGAGGGGATGTACATTTCTAACTATTTTCATTATATGCTTTATTTCAAATCAATGGAAATTAAAACTGAAGTTAAAAGATACGAGAGAATTGAATAATCACCCCATGTACCGATGAAATTTTTAATGGGGTGGCCATAAGACTTGTAAGTGAAGTTAAGTTTGGTTTTTCTTATAAACAAATTAGTCGTGTTCGAGTATTTTTAAGGGTTATTTCGAATCGAGTTCACTGTTCATTACTGAAAAAACATGTCGCCCAAGAATACTTACTTAATTGCTTGTTTCACAATTAAAATGTGACGCAATGCGCCACGAGTTTTTTTGTAACTTCCACGTTCAATGCTACGGGTTTGTATTGTAATTTATTTAAATTTGTGGTGTATCTAAGTGCGTGTCTATTTTTTTGAATGAATTCTTACGTTCGATTAATACAGAAACGTTATAGGTAGTGCCGTCTTTATACAACGTAACTATCTTATATATTTCTGCTTTCTTTTATTGTGTTAGATATCAAGTTTCTGCATTGACCTATTTTTAGAAAATCGACGAATATGTTTTGATTGAATCCATTGCTTTCAAAATGAAAAGCCCGCTTTTCTCTTGGGATTTCATTGGAAAAGTGGTTTCGTGAATTTTTCTCTGACATCAAAAAAAGTTGGGTGATAACATACTAGAATAATAAAATGAAATTTTCGTTTCAGAATGACGGCCTCTCTGATACCAACAATGTTGAAGTTCGCTTGGATGATGAGTGCGCGAAGGTGTTTGGAATGGACAATGACGGACTCCAACGTTTCGACGTTGAAAGCCTGCACGATGATCTATCCAACTCTAACGAGCCAAAGAATTACGGAGAGAAGGAGTTTAACTGTAAGCACGCCTACTTGCAATCTTGAGATTATCGATTAAGCTGTGGTCTGCGCGCAATAATTAATCTTCTCTTTGAAGTGTCCTGTTTCAAACTCTAACTCAGTTACACCTATTCTATTTCAGTACATCGAACGGAAAGCTACCCCCATCCTCATGCCTCCCTAAAGCCATCGAGATCATCATTGAAACGTCAAACTACGACGTCGTCACATATCAACACGAATTTAACACCCGTAGACGCCCCCATGACAATTCCAAAATCTCCGAGTTCGACAACGAAAATTCTCTCCCCCTCATCCGACACACCTCCCAGTATTGGCTCGCCCATTTTCCACATTACCGACTCCGATCAAACGGTGCACTACGCGCCGTTTAATTTTAACGACGACGATGATCTCACCGCAATTAGCTCGGAATCTGAATGCATTCTTTCCGATCCAGGTGGGTATAGGAGCCCTCCCGAGTACACGCCGGACAGGAAGGTTCAATTTGTTAACGGCGAGAAGACCGCCGAAGAGATGTCGCCCGTTAAGGAACGTAGGCGTAGAGGGAGGTGAGTAAATCAATCGTTTGTTCACAAGTTGCTAGTAATGTGACGCGCAATGTTCAACAACTTCTAAGCTTGAAGGTGCTGCAAACTTAATCTTGAGCTTGCTCTTAATTTCGAAGCACCTCAAATATTAAACAGACAAGTACATTAAGCAGTGTATCTGGTTCCAACTCAAAAGTCATCGCCTTTTGGCTTTACCTATTTTAAATAGGAGTGGGGTTGAAAATTATTGAAAATGTAGACTCATCAAAAGTACTAAAAGTGTCATTGTCTTCAATCTCAAAGTATTGTGGACTAATTAATTCATCACGGGAGAGTAGTTCTTGTGAATGTGGGAAGATTGTGGGCAGTGAGAAACAGAAATACTATTATCTTTTTGCGAGTGGGTGCCTATACAGGGTGGGCCATTAGTGCGTGGGTGGAACATTATGGGTTTATTAACGCGAGTGGAAGGACTCTTATGAGTGTAATCTAAAAATATTTCCAACTAAATTGTAATTGTTACAGGGTGATTTATATCAAGTTGCATTTTTTTAAATAGAGAGTTTAGGTTACCTACAGCCTTAGGAGAACTGAACACTTTTTTTTATAAACAATCAACGCAATAAACATCAAAAACACACAATCGTTTATTATAAACATCATAAAAACCATGACTCAAAATTGTCAAACAATTTGAGTTTAAAAAATTATTAAATTCGTCCAAAAATTACTGAACTTACAGAAAAGATTACCAGTAAATTATTAAATTTGGACAAAATTACAAGAAATTACAGAGAAATTATGCATGATTGTATACTAAATTACCGGCACGGGTGAGGGGGGGGGGCTGTACAGGGTACACGACACTTAACTTTTATACACTACAGGTATTCGCGTTTAAGTTCTAGCACTGCTCGAAAATGCTGGCCCAAACGTAGACTGTGATATTTGGTTCCCGACCATTCAGACAGTAAGTGCATTTTACCATTTCCTCAACGAAATTTGTGTACAAATTCGATTTGGTATCTTTAAATCTCTTTAAATTATGATCCTGCGACGAGTGCACCAAATTTGAGCTAAGCAACAAATATGGCTTCCTATGCAAAAATTTAGTAGAGACCAACATTGCGCAACATTTGAACGAAAGTGTGAGGGCGTTCGCTCTTTACTTAAGCGATTTGTTGCGAATAAGAATTCGGCTTTTGTTCAAAATTTGGGGCTGAGAGTTTCTCAATCGAGGAATAGATTTTAAACCACTTTCTATGACGACTTGCTCTGTAGAATAATTACCAAAGCTAAATGTGTCACTTCTTGAAAATACGGTTTTCGAATAGATTAATAGTACTGTCATATATTTGAAAAAAACGAATCATGCTATTTTAAAAGCGATCAGAAAATATAATCATGCCATTTAAAAAAAAATTAAGTAAACTATTAGTAGTCCTCGAAAATAATAATTTAAAACATTTTAATTATGGCCGTTTTGTAGAATTTTTGCATTAAAATATTTGTTGTTGCATTAAATCCGGACAGAAACTGTAGGCGCTATATTGCAAAAAGAGAAAAGCCCCTAGAGAAATTCTCCAAAATATCGAATTTTCCCACTTCGTTTTCGAAGCTCTTTTGACATCACCAATGGATATAATTCTTGCAGACCCTCTTCCGACACTCCGCTTTTGAGATCTTTCGAAGCTGCAAACTTGGATATACGCTAATGGTAGTAGTCCTAACAAATTTACAAAAATCAGACCTATAGCCGTTAGTTTGCGATTTTAGCGTTTCTATAGTGTTATATTTTAAGTAAGGAAACGATAATTTAAAAAAAAACTGTAGAACTATAATTGGGGGTGCAAGTAGAAATCATTTTTCATTTAGAACATGTTTTGTTCTCTGGATCTCCGCAAATCTAACTCATTGTTTCTAATAAACTCTGCCCTAGGCCATTATTTATACGCTAATAAATAACCGATAATGGCCCCTGCATTATTAATCGGAATGGTTGATTTAATAGAAACGCGCTCATTTTTGCGCTTAACGACTTGCCACCCGCAAGAGTGCAATGAATATATCATATTACTTACTTAAACGTAGGTATCTATCCCTTATTATTTCAGTGTTTTAAGATTTTTCATTTGCGAATTTTTTGTGTTCAAATATGGCTTCCATTTTGATTAAAATATTGTACATATTATTCAAATTTACATTATAATTAGAACTGTTTTGTTGTGAGAGAATACAAGTAAAATATTTAGGAGTTGCCTCAGTTTTTGTGAAAATATTTTTTTACGTAGTTCTTATGCAAAGGTGACTAGGGAATGAAGGTAACAATTTAGAGGTCGTCGTGAAAAAATTCACGACGTTGTTCGGCCCTTAATCTATACATATCATCCTTTAAAACACGCCAATAAAACTGATATATGCACCCTCAATTTTTGTGATAATATTTTTTTACGTAATCGCCTCTCGTTTTCAAAGTTATAAGAAGGGAATCCAAGTAAAATTTAAAGATTGTCAATTCACGAAGTTGATGGACACTTAATTTACACATATCATCCTTTAAATAATGCGAATAAAATTGATATATGCACCCTCAGTTTTTGTGAAAATAATTTTTAACGTAGTCCTTATTCTTATATAGGGCAAATGTAGTTTAGGGGTTGTCTGGGGTTCTTGCTTGACACTTAATCTATACTCATATCATCCGTTATCGCCAATAACATTTATAAATGCGTCCTCGTTTTTTGTGAAAATAATGTTTGTGCAGTCGCCTCTCTTATACTAAGGTAATGAGGGAAATCACGTAAAATTGAGGGTTGTCAGGCAATAATGCTTCGAGAAGTGGATTGTCACTTGATCTACACATTTAGTTTTCTGATGGGTATTTCGTTAGATAGTGTAAGTTACAAATGCTATGCACTCGTCTTTTGTTCCTGTTGATGGAAAAATCAAATAACCAGCCCTTAATCATTTAGAATGTTAATGTGTTGCTATATGAGGGTGATAGTTATCAAATATGCCATGTTGATTTTTGCCATGTCTTGAGTTTGTCAACTCAGGTAAGAAAATTAATAAATATATCTACGACTTGTAAAACTTGTAACGCATTTAACTAAGAATTGGGGCATTCTTTCATGTAATGAGATGAGATTTTATTATTATGCTTCCTTTTATTGCCTTGTTTAAGATGAACAGCTTATAAAACTCACCAGCCGTCACGTTCATTTTTAAGGGGGAATTAAATTTTACAAAAGATGGGTTGAAATATACCGTCATTTGGAAATGTTAATTCAATATTACCCCTAAATTTCGAAACTTCGATATTTTCATTTTTCAATAGTCCTTTGATTGATTTCATCAATTCCATTGCGTTTGGTATCGTGGGAGCGGAAATACTTTTTATTGGGGGTGTTAGGATTCGACGCCTTTTCGTCGCACAATGCTGCATTTATACAATCCGTTATGGAATTGCTTCTATTACGTAGTTTAAGTAAATTTATTCGATGAAGTAAAATTAACCAACCCTTATACTTATTAGAGAAAGCATGAAATTTCAGTTCACACATTACGTCTTATGATCCGGCAATCAACAAATGTCTTTATTGGCGTGAAAATCGCAAGAATTTTGATTTTAATTACTGGAATACTGTGCGATTGGGGACACCGCGTTGTGTGTCTAAAGCTAAACCATTCGAGAATACAATCCAGACGACTTACCCATTCGTTATTACACAATGAAAATTTTACTCTGCCTTTATGGAGAATTCCAGATCACTGTGGAATATTCTAGAATCTATAGATCATTACGAAACATATAAAACGTGGTACCGCAGAATATCTGAAATCGAATATTCTACACAATTGCTTAATTTTGGTATAGCGCGAGTTATTGTAAATGAATACTGGATGTTTGTTATTTATGTTTATGAGGGTGATGATGGTCGGTGCCATGTAGGTAAATAGCTTTTTCCCCTCTGATTATTGCCTATTTGTGGGAATCATTCTTCCTTTTTAGCGGTTAGGGAAAACACAAAAATGTAATGGAAAAACTATGTACAATATAAAAATTCGCTTAGGTATACAAATCTTTTAAGCATCGCGTTGGGATCTGACGATAGTGGAGACAAGTGGACGGGATTTAAGTATGGATTCAATTTGAGAAAGTATAAGTTATCACCTAAAGTACGTTTTAAATAATCTTTAACTGTCTTGATAGCTGGCTCCCATAGGCCTCCTCAGCAGAAATAAAATGCGATGCAACACCTTATGGTTAAACTACAACTGTCAACGACAGTATCCTGCTTGTCCGCGAAAAACTATGCCAACGAAGTTTGAACTATGAACCATGAATAGACATGAGAAGGTTTGCCTCTGCGAGCAACGAAGCGTCGAAAAGTCATAATGGTGGATTTAGTGGTCAAGAAAGATTATATCCAAAAAGTGGAGGTGGTGATGATTTCATTAACTCAAATATTAACTTTAACAATGTCACGGTCAATTTTAGAAAATTTTTTTCACTCTTAAGGATTATTAAAACAGAATTTAACCTTCAGTATACACTTTTTTCCTCCTAATGAACCCATCCATCCCTAGATTATATGCTCTTCCAATGATCCACAAACCCAACAACCCTATACGACTCATCGTCTTTTTCTGCAACACACCAGTACATGAACTCTCTCTGATTATACTCGAGCTTTCCCGTTTTTCCCCTAACTCAATAACCTACTCCATTCAATTTGTCCACGAACCTTTAAAAATCAATACTTCAGAATCCCAACCCCTATTTCCTTTGATATAGTTAATTTGTTTCCTACGGAGAATGCAGAATAGTCCAAATTTACTTTCAGATTCTACTGCTTCAGACGAAACTTCCGAATTTTGAATCAATTGAGATCAATGCTTAAACCAAAATTTCTTTTTCATATACAAAAGTCGAGTCTCCTCTCCCCATTATTCGCTAATTATTTCTATCGAATCTAGAAACCACTAAACTCCCTACCATCGAACAACACTTCAAATTT